ATTTTATTCCAGAATTCTCATGGTTTCATGCCTTATATTTAAGTCCTTTATCCATCTTGAATTAATTTTGGTGAGTGGTGAGAGATATGGATCCTGTTTCATTCTTTTGCATGTGGCTATCCAATTTTCCTAGAACCATTTATTGAATAGGGATTCTTTTCCACAGTATACATTGTTGTCTGCATTGCCAAAGATCAGTTGGCTGTATTTGGATGGTTTTATATCTGGATTTTCTGTTTTGTTCCATTAGTCTATGTCTCTATTTGTGTGTCAATATCACGCTGTTTTGGTTATTATAGCCTTGTAGTATAGTTTGAAGTCTGGTAATGTGATGCCTCCCAATTTGTTCCTTTTGCTTAAGATTGCTTTGGCTATCCGGGCTCTTTTGTGGTTCCACACAAAGTGTAGAATTATTTTTTCTAGATCTGTAAAATATGACATTGGTATTTCAATGGGGACTGCATTGAATCCATAAAACACTTTGGGTATGATGGACTTTATAACAATGTTGATTCCACCGATCCATGAGTATGATATGTTTTTCCACTTGTTTGTATCATCTGTGATTTCCCTCCTCAGTGTTTCATAGTTCTCTTTGTAGAGATCTTTCACCTCCTTGGTTAAGTATATTCCTAGGTATTTTATTTTCTTTGTAGCAATTGTGAATGGTATTGAGTCTTTGATTTGACTCTCAGCTTGAGTGTTACTGGCATATAGGAATGCTACTGATTTGTGTACATTTATTTTGTAATCTGAGACTTTCCTGAATTCATTTTTCAATTCCAGGAGTCTCTTGGCAGAATCTTTGGGGTTTTCTAGATCTAAGATCATATCATCTGCAAAAAACGATAGTTTGGCCTCCTCTTTCCCAATTTGGACACTCTTAATTTCTTTCTCTTGCCTGATTGCTCTGGCTAGGGTTTCTAGCACTATGTTGAATAGAAGCGGTGAGAGTGGGCAACCTTGTCTTGTTCCAGTTCTTAGTGGGAATGCTTTTAACTTTTCCCCATTCAGTTTAATGTTGGCTATGGGTTTGTCACATACGGCTTTTATAATTTTAAGATACATTCCTTCTAAACCTAGTTATGTTGTGGGCTTTTATCATGAAAGGGTCCTCAATTTTGTCAAATGTTTTTTTCTAAATCTATTGAAATGATCATATAATCTTTGTTTTTGCTTCTATTTATGTGGTGAATCACATTTATTGATTTATATTTGTTGAACCATCCCTGCATCCCTGGGATGAAGCCTACTTGGTCATGGTCTATTATTTTTTTTAATATGCTGTTGAATTTGGTTTGCTAGTATTTTATTAAGGATTTTTGCACCTATATTCATAAGGGATACTGGTCTGTAGTTTTCCTTTCTCGTTGTATTCTTTCCTTGCTTTGGTATTACAGTGATATTGGCTTTATAGAATGAGTTGAGGAGGATTCCATCCTTCTCAATATTATGGAATAATTTCTCCATCTGGTCTGGGGCTTTTTTTCTTTTTATTGCTGCTTCAATCTCGTTGCTCATTTTTGGTCTATTCAGTTCTATTTCTTCCTGATTGAATCGTGGGCGGTTGTGTGTTTCCAGAAATTTGTCCATTTCCTCTACATTTTTGAGTTTATGTGCATAGAGATTTTCATAATATTCACAGATGATATTTTGTATTTTTGTTTTATCAGTTGTAATATCTCCTTTTTCATTTCTGAATGAGCTTATCTGGGTCCTTTCTTTTCTATTCCTGGTTAATCTAGCAAGAGGTATAAAAGCTTCTGTACAGCCAAGAGAATAATTAACAGAGCAAACAGACAACCTACAGAATGGGAGAAAATATTCACAAGCTATACATACTATAAAGGACTAATAACCAGAATCTAAAAAGAACTCAAGCAAATCATCAAGAAAAAAATCAAATGGCCCCATTAAAAAGTGGGCAAAAGACATGAACAGAAGCTTCTCAAAAGATGATAGATAATTGGCCAATAAACATATGAAAAAATGCTCAATCTCACTAATCATCAGGAAGTGCAAATCAAAATAATAATGAGATATCACCTTACCCCATACAGAATGGCTTTTATTAAAAAGTCCAAAAACAACAGATGTTGGAGTAGATGCAAAGAGAAAGAAATGCTTGTACACTCTTGGTGGGATGGTAGATTAGTAAAATCTCTATGGAAAACAGCTTGGAGATTGCTCAAAGAACTAAAAGTCAACCTACCATTAGATCCACGACTGTGGATCTAATCCCACTACTGTGTATTTACCCAAAGGAAAAAAAGTCATTTTATCAAAAAGATACCTGAACTCAAATGTTTATAGCAGCACAATTCACAATTGCAAAGATGTATAATCAACCCAAATGCCCATCGATTCATGAATGGATTAACAAATGTGGTATATGTGTACCATGGAATACTACTCAGCCATGAAGAAGGATGATTTGATGCATTTTGCAACAATTTATATGGGACTGGAGACCATTATCCTAAGTGAAGTATCTAAAGAATGGAAAAACAAACACCGCATCTACTCACTATTAAATTGGAATTAACTTATGAGCACACATGTGCATAGAGGGAAGGAAATTTCAAAGGAAATCAAGTAAGGAGAAAGGAGGAGGAGGGGATGGATGAAAACCTACTTAACAGGTACAATGAACACTATCTGAGTAATGGGCACACTTTTAACCCTGACTCAAGCATTACAAAAGCAATCCATATAATCAAAAACATTTGTACTCCCATAATACTTTGAAGTAAAAAAAAAAAAGAGATGATACTGAGGTGTATCAACTCATAAATATTTAAGCATTAAAAAGGTTAATCTGAAGCATGGTTGAATTTGAAACTGTCATTTCAAATTAAGGCAATTAACTGCAGTTTTAGACACATAAGAAGTTGTCTTGCCACGCAGAATTGTTGGAAGACCATGTGTCTCAGCTGAACTCAGGTATTCACTACAGAAATCCTCATTTTTTTTTACAGGATGCCCAAAAAAGCTCTTTAGCCAGATTCTCATTTCTTCTAGAGATCGTTGAATTTCTGTTTTTTTGGTTTTTTTTTTTTTTTGTAGTCTATAGTAGGATTAAATTTCTATATACAAAGCAGGCACTGGGGCTGATTGTAGGTTGGCCTGATCCACAGTGAAGGCAAAATAGATGGTTTAGGGGATTGGGGGTATGGTTCTAGCTCCCCCACTACCCATCACCAGAAGGGAGTTTCAGAAATCTTATAAAATCTAATTATGTTTTTACCATACTTCTCCCTAACCTTATATAGTTTCTCCATCCTTTGTCTGTCTAAATCAGCCATTCTTGGAGACTTACATTCTAACTCTTCTATGCATCTTCCTTGTCTACTAGAACTCTCACTCATCTCACCCTTTTTTTAAACTAATAAAATTAATACCTA